ATATGGAAAAATAGGCTCCAAAATTCATTTTCACTTCCCGCTTAGTTAATTTTAATTTTAAAATAATTTATTTTGGTAAACACAAATTAACGTAGACTGAAATAGACGTCTACATATAAGTAGACTTAATTGTAAGTCTACTATACTCTAAGTTGGTTAAATCCGGTTAGGTTAATTTGGTATAAGTGTGTAGACTTACAGGTAAGTCTACAACTCCGTTTTTTTTTTTTTTTTGCTTTATTGTTTGAGCAAACCCTAAATGTAAGTAGACTTTATTGTAAGTCTACTATAACCCTAAACCACAAATCTGATACCCTAAATATTTATTTGATAATCAAAAATGTATTAATTATTATATTAAATATCTAAATATAGAAAAAATAAACTTCTCAACATTAGTGTGTCAAAAAAATAAAAAAAAATTAAAATCAAATATCTAACCCTAATATATGAATCTAACCCTAAAAGACAAAACATGTTATACCATTTTGTTGGGAAACCATAACACATTATCTTTCACATGATTACCAATTCAATATAAATTCTATTAAACTTTTCACTTCTATGAAATTTTAATTTATATATTTCATACTAATCTTTATATTGATGATTTATTTAAAAACTTCCCAAAGTAGACTTTTAAAATTAAATTATAAGATCAAATGACGATGTAGACTGTAGAATACGTCTACAAAGTAGACTTCTAAGAAGGTCTATAAATGTGTAGACTTCTCTCTATTATGGGTAGACTTGCAAAGGACAGAACCGTAAAATAATTGTCTGTTTTTTTGTTTGGTCACAAGGGTTAAGTAGTAACTTCATAACCCCTTTAGGTTGGTTTTGCATTTGACTCAATAAGGGGTACACCTTTAGGGTTGAAATGAAATTTTAGGTTGGTTTTGGCAAATCCCCCGATAATCTATGTGTTTATGTATAGTGAGTGTCCTTCACCTTCCTCCTATGATTGGTCATTTGACAAACGAAATAAATTATTCACGTAAAACAGAAAACATTTGGCTAGTTTCGTAACAGAAGATTGCAACGTCAGCAAATAAATGCCACATGTATCGACACGTCATACTGCATGGGGGGGAGAAGACGTTTCGCTGTTTTTAGAAGGAGACTTGAATTATATATATCATTATTAAATAAGGAATTAGAAAGAAAAAAAAAAAAATAGAGGTGATAATCTTGAAAACAAACACTTGTTGGTTTCTCTATCTTTTCCCCCACAGATTTTTTTTTGTTTGTTTTCTGAATTAGGGTTTCCAAATCATTCCTCTCATTGTTCTCCTCCTTCGCGATTTCACCAGAAACAGAGCCAAAACGCTTCACCTCTCTCTCCCTCTCTCCGTAGGTAAAATTCAATTCAAAACCCGAAGCTCGGAATCATTTTATTAGGGGGGGATTTTTGATATCAATCGTTTTGAATCCATGGACGTGAACGATACATAGTTTCTCTCAATTTTGCTGATGTGTTAATTATGTTTATATATATATATATATATATATCTCAAATGATTGAATAATTCAATGGTAATTAAATCTCTAATTCTGATTATTGACTGTAATGCAATCTGAGGATAAGAAGAAGAAGATAATATTGAATTGTTTTTTTTTCTTTTATTTAATAATAGTTGATTATTTTCTGCTGATCGGAGCTGGATTTTCAAATGTGGTCTTTGAATATTCCTTTAAATCTTAAGGAATTGTTATAATAAGATTCTGTGTGTATTTTTGTTGATTGAGCTGTTACAGGAGGATACATACATTTATAAATATGGATGGTACAGAGGATGCTTCTCCACTTCATGAGCCTCCTGACCCTGAAGTCCTCGAAGTTGATCCTACTTTTCGTTATATTCGGGTTAAATCATCATCCCTCTCTTTTGCCTTTTTTTTTTCTTTTCCTGCTCAGAATTTAAAGGTTTTAAGTTTTATTCTCTTTGTGGAACTTTCAGTATAAAGAGGTTATTGGAAAAGGCGCTTTCAAAACAGTGTATCCTTGTTTTCCCTTTCATATTCATTCTTATTCTCTTTAGACAAAAGAGTATTCTTTTTTTTGTAATAAGAGATTATTACTTCTTATATTATCATGTTTTTATCTTCTTTGGCTTTGTAACCTTAACATTGAAGATATCAGTTACAAGGCTTTCGATGAAGTTGATGGGATTGAAGTTGCGTGGAACCAAGTTCGGATTGATGATGTTTTGCAATCTCCAAACTCGTTGGAGAGGCTTTACTCTGAAGTGCGTCTTTTGAAATCGTTGAAGCACAGTAATATCATTAGGTTTTACAACTCGTGGATTGATGATAAGAACAAGACTGTTAACATCATTACTGAGCTTTTCACTTCAGGGAGTCTCAGGCAGTACGTATTAACCTTCCTCTGTACCACCACACACACAACACTTTTTTTCCTCTCTAAGTAAATCTTTTTGGTTTTTTAGTTACCGCAAGAAACACAGAAAGGTGAATATGAAGGCTGTCAAGTGTTGGGCGAGACAGATTTTAATGGGTTTGAGATATCTTCATGGTCAAGAGCCGCCAATTATACATCGTGATCTCAAGTGTGATAACATCTTTATCAATGGGAACCATGGAGAAGTGAAGATAGGAGATCTTGGCCTAGCCACTGTCATGGAGCAAGCTAATGCCAAGAGTGTCATTGGTATAGTTTCTCTTTCCTATTCGCATTTCTTCTTTAACCAAACTTTGTAGAAGGGCTAGAATCTAATCTTGGCTACGTTACTAACAGGAACCCCAGAGTTTATGGCACCTGAGCTTTACGATGAGAACTACAACGAGCTGGCTGATATCTATTCATTTGGGATGTGTATGTTGGAGATGGTGACATTTGAGTATCCATACTGTGAGTGCAGAAACTCTGCTCAGATATACAAAAAAGTCTCATCGGTGAGTTAGAAACAAAAGTCATGTTATCCCATATAATCCATGTCATTAGTTTATTGATCTCATTTTAATTCAATCTGGTTCTTGGTGATTTCAAGGGAATAAAACCAGCCTCACTCTCTAGGGTTCAAGACCCAGAGGTAAAGCAGTTTATTGAGAAATGCTTACTTCCTGCAGCCGAGAGGTTATCAGCAAAGGAGCTTTTATTGGACCCTTTTCTTCAAGTGAATGGTTTAACGATGAACAACCCTCTGCCACTTCCAGACATTGTAATGCCTAAAGAAGGTGCGTTTGGAGAGCGTTGCCTTATGTCTGAAGGCCCTCCTGCTACTCGGCCTAGTAGACCCATGTCTATGGATCTCGATGACGACAATAACCTGCCCATTGTTACTTTTAGCGACAACTCTGGATCAAGGTGTATTGAGGTTAGACGCGCAAAGAGAGGGAACTTCTTTGTTCTCAAGGGTGAAGAAAACGATGAACAGTCTGTCTCGCTGATTCTTCGTATAGTAGATGAGAATGGTGAGCGTTTTGGGTTTAACGCCACGTTTCTTTTGTACATCCTGAAACTTAATGTTACTGTTTTTTTTTGGTTGTAGGACGAGTGAGGAACATTCATTTCCTGTTCTATCAAGAAGGTGACACTGCTTCAAAAGTGTCGAGTGAGATGGTTGAGCAACTCGAGTTAACTGACCAGAACGTCACGTTTATAGCGGAGCTGATCGATATATTGCTTGTCAACATGATACCCACGTGGAAAACTGATGTCACGGTAGATCATCTCATCCATTCGCAACTGAATCAGAGCTCAAGAAGTCATCAGAGCGAAGCTAATAAGCCACAGAGCCAAGAGGAGAGTGCTTTTCATGATGCTTGTGAGTCGGTAAGACACTCTTGGACCTCGGATTGCCCACGATCAGAAGAGGAAGAGAAGCAGTATGTGGATGCCATTAAAGGAGAAAACGGGAGTGACAATCAAGAAGCAGAGGAGGCAACGGAACCAGTGGGTTTGGAGGAAGAAGAGAGGTTGAGACAGGAACTGGAGGAGATAGAAGCTAAGTATCAAGAAGAGATGAAAGAGATAGCAAAGAAGAGAGAAGAAGCAATAATGGAGACGAAGAGAAAGTTGTGTCAGAAGAAGGTAGAACAAGTAGTTTAAAAACATACAACAAAGACATCATTGGTGGGTTTTTTTTTACTTTTGATTTTCTGAGTTAAGAACAAGCACTTCGCTCTCCCTGAAAGTGTAGAAAAGGTTCCTACAGTGTGAAGAGTTACTCATCGTTTTTTGTTGTTTCTTGGTTGAAGCTTTTTTATTTGATCAAATGATGTTCGAACATGTAAGAGAGTAGGCCTGGGTATTTTATCCCATAGCCGAATCCGAACCTATCGGAAAACTTGAACTGAAGTGATAAAATATCTGATCAGATTAACAAATCCTGACTGTGACGGGTAATATTCGAATACGTGATGGGTAACATCCAAAAACCTGAAGCATTATCATCCGAATATATATACATTAATTCAAAACTATAACCACGCCTGTGGTCGGGTCGGGTGATCAAGGTGTTCCGTAGATCTCAAAATGGATTCGAGTTTAAATCCACACTACACCAGATTTCTACGACGTATGGCTACGAAAGTTTTTACATTCTATCCGGTAAGTTAAAATTCATATTCAATTTCAAAATCATCTAAAGATATCCTTCAAATTAATCAAACTGAACACAAAATTTATCTTATTTTGTTTTATTTCATCAATGACGAGGAAAAAGATATCACAAATCATCTATTTTGAAATATATTTTTTTGTTTGTATTTGGGTTAATTGATTCAAAATAATGATACATGATTTTTTTCAGAATTTGTTTCATAATCGAAGATTATAAGTTGTAAATTATCGATTTGATCATTTGATTTTTTAGCAAAAATTATGTATTTTATGGAAAATACCAAAGTCTTAACTATAAATACACACAGCTAGGCCTGGGAAAAAAAATCGGAACCGAGCTAAATTATCCGAACGATTCTTATATTTATATATCCGAAATAACCGAACCAAACCGAGACCCGAAAAGGTACCCCAATATATAATAATAATTTTTTTATACATATAACATAACCAAATATATGATTTAGTTTAAAATCTATTAGAAGTATCCAAAAATTAGATGTTTTTACCCGCACATGCGGGCTTAATGATTTTACAAATATCTATAAATAAATATGTAATCAATTTAAGTAACATTAAAATAAGTTATTGTTTATATATTCAAGATATTTAATAATAATTTTTTATATATATTATGTTTCATTATAATATAATAATTTCCATTACATAAATTAAATTTAAAAAACTAATAAGTTAAAATATTTAGTAATAAATTAGTATCAAATTTTAAGATATGAAAAAAATTTGAGTATAATAAAATTATCTTTTATTGCGTAAATAAATTTGAAATACTATGGTATATATACATAAAAATATATATAAAATAATATGTAGGAATTTTTTTTTTAAGTTTTACTTTTAAAATAAGATGAAAATTAATTTTTTGGATAACACAATATAAATTATTTTTTATCTATAATTATCAAATGAATTAGTTTTTTTTTAAATTAATGATAAATTATAGATTAACAAATATAATTAGTTTTCAATGTTGATAAAGATTTTATAATACAATATAAACAAATTAGATAAGGATAATTATAGAATTAATGAATTCGTTTTTAATTTATTATTAATTATATATTAACAAATAAAACTATTTTCAAGATTAATAAAGACTATTTAAAACATTAGAAAATATTTTTAGATAAGGATAAATCTTAAACTACTGAAATTTGTTTTTATTTATAGTTAATTTTATATTGAATTTTTTTAATTATTCATTAAGGGTATAAACGATATTAACCACTCCAACTTTTAACGTGAGAGCTCCGTTTCGAATTATAATTAATTATATATTAAAAAATAAAACTATTTTCAAGATTAATAAATACTATTTAAAACATTAGAAAATATTTTTTGATAATGATAAATCTTAAACCACTGAAATTCGTTTTTATTTATAGTTAATTATGCATTGAAATTTTTTAATTATTCATTAAGGGTATAAACGATATTAACCACTCCAACTTTTAACGTGAGAACTCCGTTGCGAAAAATCACTTCGTAAATAATAGTGTAGATAGTTGAAGATAACTAAATAATTATAATATATCCGAATTATCTGAAAGTGTACGGATAATTTATCCAAATATCCAAAGTATTCCAAAATATGTGAAATTTATATCTAAATCGTTCTAATTATTTGATATTTTATTCTAAATAATTGATAATTTACTCGAATTACCCGAACTCGAACCAGAACTAAATGAGAACCGAATTTTCTAGGTACTTTTTGATTCCTAGTTTTATTATTTGAACCGAACTGATCCCGAAACTATCTAAACTGAACCAAACCGAATAAAAAATAGGTCAAATAGAATCAAAAATAAGTCAAAGTAAAAAGATCCTCTAACCCCCTACCTGAATTACCCAAAACTCTGAATTACCCAAAATCCGAATTACTTGAACCGATACCCGAAATGCCCAGACCTACCCACAGCTATGAACTACAAATACACAACCCTGAACACAGAAATGCAAAATAATACCAGAATACTCAAATCCGAACGCCAACCCTAATAGAGTGGTTTTGTTTTTCATTTCTGTATTTGTAGAAAGAAGCAACGATGAAGGTGATGATTTAAACATACAACTAGAACTTGACCCGCACCCCGTGCGGATGTTTGATTTTATTTGTGTTCACTGTAAACTCATAAACTGGTTATTTGATAAAAAAATTATAGATATTTTTATATTTTGTAATTTACATATAAAGTAGAATATATTATTTTATAATATAAATGTTTAATAATAATTTTTATTTGTACGTAATAGTAGATTAGAAAATTTATAACTTGATGCAATTTGATGTAATTTACTACTTATATATTAATATGTAATTTTTTGTTAATTTATTTTAAAATAAAACAACATACTAAAAATTAATTTTTTTTACATTAGTTTTCTATGAATTATCATTAATTTTATGATATTTTTTTCTTAAAAATTAAACTCTCAAAATTTTATACTTAACTATATTAAATAAGGTAATACTATATTTAAAAATTATTTTATATAATATATACTATAGATTTCAGTTTGTGTTTTTATTTCACAACAAAGAAAGAAAACATATTGTAATTAATTCATTTAAATTGAATGGTAGAATTTATAAATAAAAAGAAATAGAAAAGGAAAGTATTTAATTTATTATAAATACAATGGCTAAATATGTAAATAAAAGGAAGTACATATCTCTACAATCTATGTTTCCAAACATATCTCACTTATTCTACAATCTTTGTTTTCAAAGAGTACGAAAAGGTACTTCAGTTTTAATAATATAGATGAAATCCAGCATTAAAAATTAAACCAATTAACTGTAATAGAAATTGAGTTAATCATTTGAATAGCGAGGCGATAATATCATGAACCAACCATAAGGGATTCAGAAACCAAATTATCATTAACCATAAGTAGTTTAGAAACCAAAAACAACCTAACAATCTTCGAAAGAGTTTTCATAAAACAGATAAGATAGGATAACAAAAAAAAAAAACACAACACGGCTCGATCAAAAACGACAATCACTGGTCTCCAGGAAGAGACTTGATGATGTCGGAATCACCAGGATCAACAATGCTGAGACAAGAAACACGGAAGTACTTTCCACAAGCAGTGCCCAAATCAACATTGTTGCCATTGTAGTGATGAACACCAACTTTAGCAAGCATAGCGTAGTACTCAATCTCTGATCTCCTCAACGGTGGGCAGTTACTAGAGATAAGAATCAACTTACCTAAACACACAACAATATTCCCTCATTTAAAACTATCCAATGACAAATAAAAGAAGAAGGAATATGTGAAGAAAGTGTTTTACCTTTGGAGCTGCGAAGGGACTTGAGAACAGATTTGTAGCCAAGAGTGTATTTTCCACTCTTCATGACCAGAGCCAACCTGCTGTTGATTCCCTCATGGGACTTCTTCGTCTTCTTTGCAGCAACCATTTTCACGACGCCGAGTTAACAAGGAGAGAAGCCTTCTTCGGGGGATGACGCAGAAGCTGTTGGGCGGCGCAAAATGAGAAGTTAAATAGAGAGAGATACATAGGAACCCTAATGGTTTTTTTATATTCTTTTGTCAAAATAACAGGCTCACGGCCCAAATAAAATCGACCTTAGGCCCACACTTTCCTGTCTGAAACATTATTTTTCTTCAATCGTTTGTTGTAGTTACAATTAAACCAAATATCTGGTCATTTCTTTAAGGGACAATTGCAAAAATACCATTTTTGCTGTACCACTATAAAACTTTACCTTCAATAAAAGAACATTTTTGTAAATACCTAGATCATTAATAGGTAAATGACTAAAAGGGCATCTCTGACTAATTTAGTTTATTACGCCAGTTCATTGTCGTCGATCTCTGCTCACGCCGGAACCACAATCATGTCGTCTCCTCTCCTCCGCAGCATCGCATCTCGCCTCGTCCGTCGTCACGAACCATCAAAGTTGAGACTTCGTACGGCCAGTGTCGAGGAAAACGAATTGAGCATTCATGTGTTTGTTCAAGCGGTCGTTTTGAGCTTTACGGACTGAGAAGCTCCAAGCTGGGCGTCGAGGCGAACAGATCGAGCAGTCATGATCTCCATCTTCATCGCTTCAAGCGTTTTTTCTCTGTCGGAGTGAGGACTGATCGAGGTCGAGGATGACGAATCGAGCGAACCGGTCTTTGTAGAGTGGTCGTTTTGAGCTTTACGAACTGAGAAGCTCGATTGGGATCGAGAGTGGGATCGAGCAAGCATCTTCTCCAAATCGAGCAAACCAGAGCTCACATTCTCCAGCCATGGCCAATTCCTGCGAATTTTCGCGATTGGTCCCTGAAGTTCTGATAAATTGCAGTTTGACCCAAAAACTTCGGTTCGGACAGAAAATTCCACGAAATTTCCCCAGAACTTGTAATTGTCTTTTCCAGCCCCCTGTTTCTATGGTAGATCACCACCTCCTGTGTTTCCTCGCTCTAATGGGAACCTCAAGAAGATTGTTCTCTATGAAGATCCTTACGTTCGTAGATTCGCTAGTAAGCATCCTGAAGCTAAACTCGTCGACCCCAACAAGTACACTCTCCTCTCTCTCAGAGGCTCCAATCAAATTGAGGTCAGTAAGTAAGTAATCCTTTTTTTTATTGATGTGTTTCACTCCTTTATTCATTCTCGCTAATCCATAAGCAAAAGTATGTTAAGTACTTGATTAAAGGTGAATTTTTCATTTCCTTTTCATGCTATAGTCTTAGGACAGGTAGAGTGCTATAGTCTTAGGACAGGTAGAGTATGCAGTTGATTTGTTCTTTAACTGCTGTTTTGTATGTCTGAAGATAATGAATGCAAAAGGAGAGAACTCAATAGCATTGTTTCCAGCCAAGTTTCGTGAGATCATGTGGATCAGACGAGGTAACTTCTCTAGCTTTTAATGCTACTTGGTTAGTTTACTATGAGATTTTGTATTTACTGTTGTCTCTGCTGCACTGATTTGCAGGAAGCTTTTTAGTGATTTGTAAAGGAAAGTTACTTCTATGGTATGTAAAGTTCTATTCTCTGACCAAGTCTGTCTCCTTCAGAAGTCTGCTGAATGGTAAAAAATGACTTGTTTCTCTTAACTGTAATATGAATGACATCTAGTTTTGTTTGCTAAAGCTCATGTAAATTTGGGGATGGTGAATGCAGGCCTGAAATCTTCAGAGATAATAAGCCTATTCCTGCTGATGAAAGCTCTCAAATATCCATGAGACAGCAAGACGGTGAGATAGTTTTGGTTGATGCGAGTGATGATGATAGCATGCCTCCATCGGAGCAAACACAAACAGGTTGAGACCGTTTGGGTTGAAGTGTGGTGCAGAATCAGATTCTGGATCAGAGTATGATTCATTGAAACATTGCTGTCATGGCTTTCACAACAGGGTCTCTTAACTCAGAGATTAAACCACCACTTACTTTGTACCCCTTGTTCATCGCCAACCAAAAAATAACCGTTGGTTGGTCAGGACCAGACGCCACTGGAATGTGCACCATTGGTTGTTGAGCTTGCCCCTGTGGTTATGGCTTGATTTGGAGAATTATAAACCAATTTATAAAGCCTTAAAAACTAGTTAAAAGCTTATCAAATGATTCATAAAGGTTTGTAAGTTAACTTAGAAGAGTTTATAAATGAATTTATAAAGGCTTATAAACTAATTTAAGGGTTTAGAAGTTTTTATAAATCTTTATAAATTTATTTTTTATTCATTATTAAATCCTTATTATATGATTTATAAACTTTCATAGATTAACTCTTACAAATGGTTTCATAAACCTTATAAGAATTTAACAAACCCTTATAGAACCTTTATGAAACTTAATGTACACTTAAAACTTTAAACGTGAGTGTGAACTTTACAAACTAATTATTGAACTATAATTATAAATGACTTATACAATGATTATAAACTAATTTAGAAAGGCGTATAAACTAATTTATAAAAACTTCTAACTAATTTATAAAGGTTTATAAAATCATTATATAAGGTTTGTAAACTGATTTGTAAAGGTTTATAAACTAATTGGTATTGCTTGTTATGGCTATTGGTATTGTGGTGTTTGGTTGGTGATGACTGAGGAAATGAACTTATCTACATCAATAAGAGAGGTATATGAACCAAAGAAAAATAAAATGAATAAGAGAGAACCACACCACAAGGCACAAAATGGAACAAGACCATCGAATTGAAAGCACCATCATATATACTGCCAAAGTGGGGGCAATTGCCTACCATAACATTTTTAAATTTAGTGTAGTACTTATAAAATTTCAGTGATGTCTATGTTCATATTTTATACTTATATTACTTAGAGAGTAGCATGGAAGATAAGATGTAAATTCCAGATAAAACTCAAAAGGACCAAAAAGGAAGAGAAGATTGAAGATATATATAGCTGGAAAGTAAAGAAACAAATCCTGCACGAAAGAAGAGAAATGTGTTGATTTTTTAGGGTTTAGGGTTTACTTTTTTAGGATTTAGGGTTTAAACCTAAAATCAGTTTATAAACTCTTATGAATCAAACTTATAGACTATTATAAATAATACATTTCATAAATTAACAAATAGACCTTAATAAATTAGTTTATAAGCCTTTATAAATCAGTTTAAAACTCTTATAATCACATTATAAACCTTTGTAAATCATTTTATGTCATTTTAAACACTTATAAGTCATTTATAAACTCATATAAATTAAATTCAATTTATAAACATTACAAATAACATACTCAAAATAATTAGAGAATTTCCAACCATCACTAGAGGAGACCAGAAACTAGTACAGACCATCACCATCTGATTAATTCTTGCATTGTAAACGTTTGAGTTGAGAATACATCTTAAGCTCTTCACTGATCATAGGAGTGGACAAAGAGCTTTCAGCATTGGTGGTTGTTACTGTTGTAGAAGAAGAAGAAGAAACATGGCCAGTTGGTTGCTCATTTGATTTCATAGTTGCTGCTAACTTACTTCCCACTGTTAAAATCAATTAATGAATTTTATAAACCGTTTATAAAGGTTTACAAATTATTTGTAAGAGTCTATAAACATTTATAAAGGCTTATAAAACAATTTTTTAAAGTATATAAACTATTTATAAATAATTTAAAAGGGGTATGCATATAATTTATAAGATTTATGTAGGTGTATACAGGTTTAGAAATCAATTGGAGGTCTTTAAATTAACTATAAGAGTCTAACTAGGATTATTTTTGTTATTTTCAGTTACTCATTTCAAACTTTAGGTAGTTTTGAAAATAAACATCAAGCAGTGGTAAAGATGAATTATATATAAGGGTTTATAAATATTTTATAAAATCTTATAAAACATTTATTAGAGATTATCAAGACATTTATAAGATTTTTATAAACAGTTTATAAATCATTCATAAAGTTTATAAATTTTATACACCATTTACAAATTACTTATAAGGGTTTATAAAACATTCATAAAGTTTATAAAACAATTTATAAATTTTATACACCAATTTATAAATATATTATTAAAGTATAATTCATTTATAAGAGTTTATAAAACCGGTCTATAAGGATTATAAATAATTTATAAATGTTTATAAATCACTTATGACGATTTAGAAATCATTTCTAAACCTTTATCAATAGTTTATATATATAATGTCACAAACAAAGCTTACACTGAGTACACTATATCCCTTGACGCTGATGATTTCTCACAAGGAAGTAATGCATATGTTGGTAAACTAAGGTATTGTTTCTTGGTTCAGCCATTTAGTCTTTAGAGATATAATCTGAGACGCATCTTTTTATTCGGGAACCTCCGCAGATTGGATTTTCTTGGAACCAACTTGGTATTTCATTTGTAAGAATTTAAAAGGGTTTGTATCATTTATCAACTCTTATAAAACTGTACCCATTAAATAAGAGTTTCTAATTATTTATAAATCATTTTATAACACAGAACAAAAGTCAGTTTATTCTACTTCAGTTTATAAACATTTATAAATTAGTTTATAGACACTTATAAATCTATTTATAAACCATTATAAATCAATTTATAAACCCTTATAAATAAATTTATAAATTCTAATAAATAAATTTATTTTATTTCAGTTTATAAACATTTATAAATTAGTTTATAGTCACTTGTAAATCCATTTATAAACCGTTATATTTTACTTATATAGGCAAAGCTTGGGCGTTGGAGATTACTTCAACAAGAAGAAAGCAAAAATAGTTGTAGTTAGTTATATATCATTGGAATATCAAACACATGGATGGTTGATTCATCTTCAAATCCCCTAGATGCAATGTTCAAGAGTTGTAGATTATTTATAAGAGGTTATAAATCACTTGTAATGGCTTGTAAATCATTTATAAAAGTTAATAAATTATTTATAAATGTTTTTTTTGGTCAAACAACATTGCATTACTAAATTTCAAAAAGTTACAATCCCTCGAGGGAGGACAAGTCTACAGAAGTGAGAGCTAACTTAGCCACAGAGTCAGCCTCAGAGTTTTCTAAACGAGGAATGGAGAAAATTATTTATAAATGTTTTAATTCTCTTATAATTGTTTGTAAATTATATATAATTATTTACAAAATTATTTTAGAACTTTATAAACCATTTTAGAACTTAATAAAATATATCTCATAAATTATTTATAAGGGCTAACTAAATCATTTATAAAGGTTCATAGAATCATTTAAGGATTTAAAAAATCATATAGGTCAATATTTCATAGCTTTATCTATAAGAGCTTATAAATATATTTTTAAAGTTTATATAAGAGTTTGATAAGGGTTTATAACAAAATTTATATGGATTTACAAAAAATCAAATGCATCAAGAATATATGTGTAATTTTTAAATGATTTATAAATGTTTATAAATAATTTAGAAATGTTTATAAATGATTTACAAAGGTTTACAAATCCTTTATAAAAGTTTATAAATCATTTATAAGATCTATTAAATTGATTATAATGGTTTATATACCATTTTTAGATAAGGCATCCTCCTCCGGTGTGGATACATTCAGAGCCGCTTCAACCGTATGAAGCTATGGAGGCTGACAGTTCCACGGAGGAGGAAGAGGGTGTTGAGAGAAACGAGTGTGTATGGGAGATGCTTGGTGTTTTGTTCTTGAGTGCAGTGTGTGGAGCGTTGGGAGCAATGTTGGCTTTGTGTCTCTGGACAATATGTGGTGTGAGGCGGTCAGTGATGGTGGTTCCAGAGGAATTTCCAGTGAAAACTGTGAGTGATGCTATAGAAGAAGGCAAGAAGTAGTGAGGAGTTTGGTTTGGTTATGGATTCTTGCCTTTTGTTGTAGTGTAAAATGTATATGATCTTATTCTTCTCCTTCCTAGCACTTTTGTTGCTGTAGTGACTCTTCTGTGTGTTTTTTAGTCTCAGGTTTGAACTTGAAATCAATTTCAAATGTAAAATCACAACTATGAAATGAAGACAACTAGTTCTTGTTGTTGTTCTACATCCTTTCTAAAATTATTTATAATTTATAAGCCTTTATAAATGTTTATAGCTAATTTATAAATCCTTATAAACTTGACCACAGTTGCAAAGCTGAACAACCACACTAGCATGTAGAATCTACATATAGTTCTTCCCTAACCACACCAGCTCTGACCAAGAACTCCTCCAAAGTCATCTCTTCCAACGTTTGTTGCCTCTGTGGAACTCCACTTGCTGCTCCAACATCTAGTTCACTCTATGTGATAAGAACTTCTTCCTTGAAACACCTGAGGATACTGTTAAGAGAAGATAATTCTTCTGGTCTGACTGTTACACCTGAGCTCCTGGGGGCAGAATATAGGATACTTGGAATTGACGTACTGACTTATGCTGCTATGGTTTAGTATATATGTTCTAAAATACTTAAAAAAGTTCCTCAACTAACTTGAGAAAGGGGACGAGATTCATCACCAACGAGTTTTTCTGCAAGACATGTGATGAACAAAATGGTATAAAACCTTTCATAGAAAAATCACGTCGTCACGGTAGTAGAATCAAAGATATATGCATATGCTGTACTCATAAGACATACACACACACCTTCTAATGGTTTCAAGCCGTTCCTCAAAGTCTACATAGAAAGATCTACCAGATTTTCCTTCATACTGAGAATTCAGACCAGGTGCCTCTGCAATAATATGCGTTCACAGAAATTAAAAAACAGAGCCACAAATAAACACTAAGGTGTCGGATTTGACCATCTATTCTTTCCAGATAAACGTAAAATGGAGTTATTACTAAAGTAGCTGCAATATATGTTAACTACATATACACTTACTTCTGGGTGCAGAGACAGGCTGTTTCGAAGATGATTTCCTGCAGCAGCAAAGAAGTAGACATGAAATAAAACAGAACATGAAACTATAAATGCTTAAACAAAATGTGTAACATATTACCTCTGCTGTAACGATGGATCTTTCTCTTCCTGTGATACCATTTCACATTTTCAATCAATAAATAAATACAAAGGTTCCTCACATTTTGTTCATCACATGTCCAATATGAAAACTTATCTCCATCAATGAGTTTTTCTGCAAATACATAATAACAGAATCAGCAACTCACTAGCGTACATACATATTAACCCAGAGACTACATTTCTAAGGAGAAACCAAATTACAGTATACCTCATTAGCACCAGCAGTATCATCAACATGAAACTCCAACAAGACGTCATGTTTCCCCTGAAGCTGAGTCTGCGAAAGATCAGCCAGAGACACCTCAAAAGCTTGTTTTCCACCAACCAAAAACGTCAGATTATTCCCTGCACAAAGAAAAGGAGAGAAAGCTAATACCTTTTTCACATAAGAAGACTAGAGAAGCTTAAACTCTGTGTTTTAAAAAAGCGCATGGCGAACCAAGGCGAGACGGTATGTGCCTTGCGCCTTGCGCCATGGCGAACCAAGGCGCTCGCCTTGATGACCAAAGTGGAAATCTCGAAAGTTGTTTCAATTGGTTTAAAAAACCTTCATACTTGGTTTATTAGTCTATTAGTTACGTTAGTTCATTAAAATAGATTGAAACTACACATGGTTTAGTGAATTAAACCGGGTCTAGTTATTATTTAGGGTTAATTAGGTTACACTTAACCGTTTTCTTCACCTAGAGTATGTAATAGACGGCGGCTATGTCAGATTACGTAAATAGGACATGAACTGAGTTAGGTCAAAACATAATGTTTTGATAGGAATCTATAAGGCGCGCCTTTTAAGCGCCTTTGTTGCTCTAGATTTAAGCTAAAAGCGCACAAGGCGGGCGCCTTAGGAACCATACCCTCGCCTTGGAGGTTCATGGCAATAGACCCCTCGCCAGACCTCGCCTTGCGCCATGGAGAAGAAGGCGAGCGCCATTTTAAACACAGCTTAAACTCAACGAAATTATGATTCCTTCCAACTAAAACCCTTCTTCAGCTAGAAAAACAGTCATTATGAGGACGAGAACACATCATAACTTTAAACTCAACCAAAGTAACAGACTTTAGATGGATATCAAAAATAAAACAGTCACTAATCAGGAAGAGGACACACCATTCAAATCAACCTCCCCCTAATTGCGACCACTAACAGAGAGCTGTTTCTCTTCAGGTGTTTTCCCAAAAGCACTTTGAAAAAAGCTGGTCAAACTCGCAACATTCTATCCACCAAAACAAACACACTGAATGCCTGAAGCATAAACACAAGCTCGCAACATCCTATCTCGCACTTATGTTCCCCTTCTTCCTCTCCCCGCATTTACAATCGATCTCAGGAACAGTAGACTCCGTAGGGGACGGATCCTTCTTCCCTTTCTTCGAATTCTTCTTCTCATCTGGCACCATTCCGTAATTCCACCAAGATCCCCAAATGTTTGATTGATATGTCGACACTACATCTTTTCGGATGTAATCATTAATGCGAAACCTGTGAACAAATAAAGAAAACGTTTTTGTTAGAAGAGAGTAAGAGAGACGAGGAGAAGAAGAAGGAGATCTGAGCAGCGAGGAGAGACATCCATATTCCGAGGAAGGCTCCGGACTTGACGTTGAGGGTGGCGATCACCGAAGCGCCGCCGTCTGGTTCGAGCTTCTGATTTGGAGAATACAGTGAGAGAGAGATTAGCTTTAGGTTTAACTAATTAGGGTCATAATTGTCTTTTTGCTATTAACTTTTTAATGGTAAAGTTGAAAATGGTATTGTTGAAAAATGGTACTCAACAAATGGTATTCTTGGCAATTTCCCTTTCTTTAAAGTAAAACACTAAAATTTCTATGGTAACATGTGTTTTTTTTGCACCATGTGCATCAATAAATTTAAAAATATTTTTGTTAATTTTTAAAATTTATTATTTTCTTATAAATATTTAATATAATTTTATTAAATTATATATCAGATGAAAAGAAAATTAAAAATATATCATAAATCATATTTCAGAACATATATGTATAGATTTAAATATATATAATTTTAGATAAATTTTATCTACTTTTTACAAAAATATTAAATTAACTTTGTAAAGTTTTAAAAAATGTCACCAAAATTGTATACCTACTAAAAATAATCTAAACAGTACTTTAAAAATTTGTAAATATAAAAATAAAGAAATGATATTACGATTAAAAACTTATGAATTTTTGGAAAAAAAAAATATATATATATATATATTGTATATTTATAAAAATATAGAATTAAATACTTTATAAACATTTTTATATTTATATTACTATATTATTTAGTGTCATATTGGAATAAATTTACTCTAATAAGGATGCATAAGTTATTACCATACTTTATAAAGTTTCCAAAAATAAAAATTATCATTAGTTATAATTGTACATGTTACACTTAACCATATGTCATATCATTACTCATTAGTTCTAATGTGTTATGCAAATTTTTATAGTGAAAGTGATTATAGGGATGACATGTATGAAATCAATCTACAAATAATGTCTAGCGAATTAGGGGATCTCTAAGAGCTTAATATTTCTGATAATTAATGCTAAAATGGATGAGACTGTGTTTGGTGAGCCTGTGAAAGGAGAATCAGAAATGAGACAGAAAGAACGTGGTGCGTGTAAATCCATCACTACAGTGGACAAAACCCATAGTGTTAAGAACAAACACCATGTCCAGAATCCAGACAGAACAAGAGTTATGTGAAACCGATATGGAGTGTGATGATCTTGAATTTGCAGACATCAAGTACTCTTAGTTTTACCACGCAAGAACCATATCATCAAAATAGCTTTCGAACGCGCTTGCTGTGCCTAACCAATTTCAGATTCTTGATATTAGCTACAATGGGTTCTCAGTTGACGCTTTGGAAACATTATACATGGCATGGTCATCATCATCATGATTTTCGAACTAGCACAGCTCTCAAAGGCATGTGAATCGTGTCAGAGGAAAGATGTGTTGTGGAGTAAAATCATGTTGCAGAAAGGATTGAAGATCTTCCTTGTCTGAAACTGTATTTGCCAGTTTAATCTTCTTAGGTAAAGAGCCTCTCAATGTTCTTATGGTAAAAAAATATGATCAAAAGGTATGGTTTAATCAATATTGAAAACCCACTAATGAGTATACAACTTTTGTTATATTACAAGATATCAATTAAAATTTGGTCTTATTGATTAAATACAGTAAAGTGAAATAATAATGAATAATTGAGAAGGTACACATTACATACGTGTATTTGTCATTTTAGAATCGATTGCAGAATCGTCGGATACTAATCAAATTTCCTAATCAAATCATTCCTTACTATTAAACGGGTAATTGCAATTATCCCCATCATATCCTTCGAGTCATGCGGTGTTGGCCATTTACTCTTGCATTTAAACGAGTCATCCTTTCACATAATTGTTCGAGCTATAATCATATAATGGGGTTGATTAAAAGTGTAATTATTTGGAAGTTAGTAAAGTAATCAGAAGGAAAAGTAGCATTATCGAGATTAGTATAATTTTGAGTGAGCTTTTTCTATGTAGCGAGAAAAAGAAAAGTAAAAAGCTTCTGAACATTTATGCATCAGAACCTTCGGCTACAAAATTAAAGCTTAACCTTTTGGTAAAACGGCACATCTTTCGGCTTCGTGTCTATTGTGTAGCTTAATCTTTTTGAATAAGATAGATACTTAATCCTGAGTCGTTCAAAAAAAAAACTTAATCCTCCATTAAAGCATAAGAAATACTATCATACATACATGCATTATATATATACATATAACTTTTATATAAAAATATATGCAAAAATTAGTTGGTGAAAAGTACATAATCGTTCTTAAAAAAAAAGAAGTACATAATCTGTTCGTTAACGTCGTGTTTTTTAAAAAAAATATATAGTTTTTAGTTCAAGAAACTCTGTTTGACAAGCAAATGAGTTTGTGTCCACTATAATTTTTGCTGTGAAAGTTTAACGCAAACGCGTGTCAAATCAATCCAGGCGTGGCGGGACGGGTCCCTATTGGATACTCTGTACAAGACGAACGAAAGCTATATTTTTAGCGATTTTACGCCAAATAATATTTAACCTTGCGTGATTTTTTCTCTCATTTCAAACTTTCTACTTTTCCTTTTTTATTATTCTGTATTCTATCTTATAATATAAAATATTTTTCTTACTATAATACATAGTATGTTCTTCACCCAAAATTATAAACAAATTGAGAAGACATAATTTCTTTTTCATATTCTCTCATTGGCTGAACGAGTAAAAGATGATGACCCACGGTGACGATAATGAAGTTGTTGGTCTTTCTTTCTTAAAAGACGATAATTTTACATTTTCTTAACCAGTTTAAACTTTTTTTTTTTTTTTTTTGCTTAAATTTGGAACCAGTTTAAACTTTAAGGATTGCAATTATCAACGGCTTTGATATATTAACCGAGAAATCAATTAATTGGTTAATTAGGTGAAAAAATGAAAAATGTAAATTAAGTACGCATTGATGTTACGAGATTAGTGTTGCAGTCAGTACTTCATTTAGTATACTTTTTCTACTCATTTAGTAAATTTCGATAACTTACTTTTTCATTTAGTAAACTTTAATTAACTATACAAAAGAAAAATAAAAAGACTAAGAATAACCAAATCCAGGCCCAACCATATTATATTTCACTTCTCTACTCTAAAGAAGTTTACATGCAAACCCAAAAAATAACCAAAAGATCGAGGAACAATTAGAAGAGGTCAAGCATATGAAACCCTAAGTACATGTCAAAGCAAACAGCAGAGATCGATTAATTAAAGGCTTTCTACTGTATTTTGTGTATGAGTGCATGGCGTTACATCATATTGTACAATATAATCTAGAGAGGGAGAGAAAGAGAGCGCATGATCATGGAGACAACAAGGCTTGTATACCAATGTCGTTGTGTTTTCGTGAAGGACCAGAAGCTGGAACAGGGAAGTGTCTTGGCAAGAATCCCATGAAATGACCTCTCCGCATGGTATTTTTGTTGTGATCAATATTAGGGTTTCTGTAGAATACGCTTGATGGTGACGAGGCTCTTGAGGCGTCGCAGTGGTGAACGAAGAAGAAACAGATGATCAGAAGAAGAAGAGCTTGTGGGTTTAATGATAATCTTTTTCTCAAATAATGCGGATGTGTAGTAACCATTTCTGGATTTCAAATCTGAATCAGAGAAAGATATCAATAGATAGAGGTGTTTTTGTTTGTTTCAGTTTTAATGAAGTGTGTTTTGGCTGAGGATTTTTGATGAAGTAAAAGATGGCAAGTAGTAGTGAGATCAGCAGTATCAGAGAGAGATGAGCTTTTGAAAGCAACCTCCTTTTGAATAAGTCAGTCTTTCTCTGGCTGGAACAATTATAATGGCCAGTTCTAATAAATAAAGGTAAAGGAAAGTACTGAACATTCATTTATTGCATTTTATAGATTTGAATCACTGAACTGAACAATCACTTGTGTAAACATTTTTTTATAAATAAATGTTTCTTTTTTTTCTAGTCCTTTTTATATAAAATTGGAGTAAAAAATTATGGATTTGGAATTTATTCTTTTATATATATGCAGTGTCAGGTGGACCGGGGGACATGAGAAGCAGACTATAAGTTAACGAATAGTATTAAATCGAAAAAAGCGAGAATAATAGCATTTTTGAGACATGTGTTTACCTTTTGATTTCTTTAAATCCTTCTGTTCCAATTTTTAGTTATTCAATGTTAGTTAAGAGAATTCATTGAAAAGTTTTCTCCCACAACCTCTCTTAGTTTGAAGCTAATATAAGCTAATATATTTGTTCGCACACTTTACACTTATAATATCTCGACAAAAGAGGTAAATGATTATCCTCCATTATGTAGCTTTTGAAATACCAAAAGTAATATACGTACTTTTTTCTCACCAACGTCAAGCTATCGTTTTGTAAATTCAATGTTACATGAAATTGTACAGAGATTATTTACAACAAACGTTGTGTCCTATCATATGCATACGTTATATCACACAATGGTTTACAGAAAATGTTAATATAATGCATTGAAACAAAGATTTGTCAGAATTAATAATTTATAATAGCAAAATGGATGGTCAATGAAGAAGGTTTTTGGGTCCCCAGTCCCCAAAGTTAAGGTTGAGAAGATAGAAAGTGGGAACAGGTTCATCTGTCCTTTTTATTATATTCTCAGTATTTGTTTCTTGTCTTTAAAATTTATTATTCATATGGTTTGTGCCACTTGTAGAGTCTGATAAGCCAACCATTTGTCAAAGTACTATTTCCTTCTGTCAATAGTCCAATTAATTAACAATGTTTTAGTTTAATACAGGGAGTCTTGGAATTGTTTGGTTTATATCTCTAGTTAGCCGTCTTAACACCATGAGAGATCTCTATTTACTCGTAAACATAAGTGGAAAATCAAATATTTTAGTAATCTCGTATATGATTTTAGTATATGTAATATATGCAATAAGATTACTAAAATCATATACTCATTCCGTTCCACTTTATTTGTCGTTTTAGAAAAATAAAGTTGTTTGAAAATAATATTGTACAACTCATCTATCAACCATATAAGATTTTTCAATGAACTATATGTGATAACACTAAACATATCATGATTAATGACAAACCAAAGCCTTGTATGAACGAAATATAATACATAATAAAACATAAAAAATTAAAGTTAACAACTAACAATTCTATAAATATAAGTGCTATTTAAACTTTTAAAACAACATTATATAAACTTCAAAACAAATTTATTCGTAACTTAACTTCAAATGTAATGTCAATCATAAACATTAATATTAACCAAATAACACTATATATTAGACTAAATATTTGAGTTAATTATTTATATCATAATTAATTATTGTAGGTACTCAATAATATATTAATCTATTTTGGAAACATATTTTAAATTTTGATTGGATATGATACAAGTTTTTTTGGAATTTTAAAGTTTCGGGTTCTTTCGGATATCCATTTAAGTTCGGGTTCGGTTCGGGTAATACCCATAACCCGAAATACCGTAAAACAAGATGCATTCGGTACTTATGTCGGGTTCGGATCGGTTTGGGTTCTTTTTTATCGGGTCGGATTCGGTTCGGATTTTCGGGTTCGGTTCTTTTTTCCCAGCCCTAACACAACATATTAGTTATCCAGTCCTTTTGACCAACTTTCATGCTAATTCGATATTCACTCTCTTTCTTAAAATGTCATTTTACATTTGAAATGCAATTTTTCTACATAATTTATTTCTTATCTTTTTAACTCTTAAATAAGTGTTTATTAAATCATTTTTATTTAAATGATTGTATATTAAATAAAGTATACTAGTATATTTTACTATTTTTTAATCCATATGAAATATGTAAGTGGTACTTTTTGTGAAACGAAAAAAAGTATTAGTTTATTATTACGAAAAGATTAATGGAGGAAATTAAGACATAATTGTTCTGCTTTGACAAGAAAAAAAAAACATAATTGCCATGCTTTGTTAATCATCAAATGTTAGCCCTTTTAAATGGGCTTGTAAGAGTACCGATTATGGTTGCGTTTATCACTTTTCTAAAAGTTTTATTTCTGGAATAATAACAGGAGTCTGTGATTCAAGTAACATTAAAATTCTGTATATCCTCTTATAGACATATAATAGCTCTGGCATTTAAGACACATTACTGGAGATCTTGTTCTTTATGCATATTAAGAACTTACAAAGAAAAATGTACATCAATACAGTATGTTTTGTTTCAAGCACAGTTCAGACTATGTGGGTTGAACTTGAATGAATAATAGAAATTGCTTTCTATAACCACTCAAATTTGCTAATTAACCAAAAATACATTCTCTCCTCATTTCTCTTCCTATTTCTTTCTATTTTTTATACAAAATTATATTTTTTGGTTATTACGACAAATAAGCTCAATGTATAATGTTATACATTCAACTGTATAGTTATCGATAACATTAAAACGTCTACTAAATTAATTCAATTAAGTATCATTAGTCCAACCGGTGCATTGGTCATATAAAGAAAGAGTATTGAGAAGGTTTCGAATATGAATCTCAATGATGAAAGTATGACAAAATTTGCATGTTAATTTTTGATCTCCGACCCAAGCAAATGTTTTCACAAATACGCGCATTACATATGTATAGCGAGCCGTAGAAAATGTATAACCCTCGTACGTGCGAAATGCTTTCAACAATCCTATGATCCTTTTGAGTTCTACTCCTCTTGATTACATATAAGTGTGATCAAAAGCTCCCCGTATATTGAGGAACAAAAAGGATGATCTTATTCCATGATATAGGCTAAAATTTAACTGTTATCGAGTAATTCGTAATCGCACGCGAATAAATTCATCATTATCACCCATTTTGCTTTACAGTTCCTCATTTTACTCTCATCATCTTCCTTAATCACCCGTTGAGTGTGAATATCTTCATCATTAAAATTATGTTACCATCACTCCAACTCTTAAAGTTTATAATGTTAATATCCTACGGTAGCAACAATATTTATTTAGTTTTATCATTGACTTATCTATATACTTAGTAGAACTATATATGTAATCTTTTTTTTTTGGACAGCTTAGAACTATGTAATCAAACTTTCAGAAAACTTGGCATACATGTATAAACACATAAACGTCCACATACCTGTAACATAACAATAATACTGTTATAGTCTACATAGTAAACCGGATTGTATAGTTAACCAGTTGTTGAATGATTTATGGTAGTTAGTCGGTTTAGTTGGTCAGATCATGTATATAAACACATTTGTACATTTCAGATTAATTAATGAGAAATGAGATGTTTACTAATATGGTATCAGAGCAAATCTCTTTTCTCTAATTAACTTCCGCTTCCGTTCATCTTCATCGTTTTCGTAACTTCTCACCGGAATCTCACCGGAATTCCATCCTCCGTTCACCTCACTCACCTCGATTCATCTTCTTCATTGCTCTCCATGTGCAATTTCAACCTGATCAAGAATCTCTCACGTTCTTTCAAGTTGTCTTTGATATCAATGGGGAAACGCAATTGCAAATCCAGATATCGCCGTTCTTCACCGGATCTACCGGAATACGGCTCGCCTTCATCTCCGACGGCTCGTGGTATGCCTTCCGGCTCTAATCCGCCACGCGATAGTCACATAGCTTCGGATCGTCTTGATTCACATCGTTCTCACACTCCTTCCTCTGTTGATCGGTTTGAGGTATCGAATTCTCCCGATAACATTCACTCTCCGTATTATCTTCATAGCTCTGATCATCCTGGACTAGTTTTAGTTGCGGATTCTTTTGATGGTAGCAATTATGGTGTTTGGATCATTGCTATGACTACTAGTCTTGAAGCTAAGAATAAGATAGGATTTGTCGATGGATCTATAGTGAAACCACCGGAAGATGATCCCTATTTCAAGATTTGGTGTCGTTGTAACAGCATGATTAAGTCTTGGCTCCTCAATAGTGTCACCAAGTCGATCTACACAAGCATCTTGTACTTCAAGAATGCTTCTGAGATATGGACTGATCTTCACTCTCGGTTTCACAAATCGAATCTTCCTCGCTTATACAAGCTTTGTCATCAGCTACATTCATTCCGTCAAGGTAGTTTGAGTTTGGCTTCATATCATACCAAAACTCAGTCACTTTGGGAAGAGCTCTCTAATATTCAAGCTACTAATCGCTCTGTTGAGGAACTCTTAGCTGAACGAGAAACTAACAGGATTATTGACTTCTTGATGGGGCTGAATGACACTTATGAGAATATTCGGAACAAGATTCTTATGAAGAAGCATCTACCTTCCTTCTCAGAGATTTATAACCTTCTTGATCAGGAAGATAGTCAGAAGGAAGCTAGTACTGTGAGTTCAACGGATGTATCTACTGCAGCAGCTTTTCAGGTTTCTCGGGCTTCTACTCAGACCTTAGGCAAAGTGACTACGTCTTCTTCTGGTGGACCATTTACTGGTTATCCACGTCGAGACCGTCCCTTCTGTACGTTCTGTCAACGCCCTGGTCATATCGTAGACATATGCTATAAGAAGCATGGGTATCCAAATAGCATGAAACCAAATCACAAGCCGGACAAGCCTTTTTCTTCGGTTTCTGCTAATGCTGCAATCTCTGATACTATCCAGAATGAT